ACACTACTAAGTACTAATTTTCTGAAGAGATTTTTAAAAATATATATTTTTTAGGTGGACACAATATCTTTATTTTACATTTATGTGGTGCTGAGGATCGAACCAAGTGCCTCGTGCACGCTAGGTGAACACTCTACAACTAAGCCATAACCCCAGGCCCCTTTCTGAAGATATTTTTGATAAAATAGTTCGTCATCTGATAGGACACATGAATGCATTTCTTCTTATGGGCAAAGGTTTCCCATGGGCTCTTAATGCTTGAGAAATAACTAGAAAACACTAGTAAGACAAGTCATTCATATTACCATTATGTATCACCAAAATTTAAGATTTATTTTTATATGCTACTGTCTTTTGTAAAGCATAAAAATTACATGTAAAGCTAAAGGCCCCCTTCAATTAACACCCAATCCCAGTCCCAATCACCTCCAGAGAGAACACTATCAATAATTTGGCATGTATTTTTCTAATTCATTGTAAATAGTTTACATACATACATATTTCAATAATAAAACAGTTCTGTTCTTTGTAAATGATTTCATTGTAGTGTACATGAATATTATACAATATGTTTGATCTCTATCTTCACTTTTTCCACTCAACAATGTTCCAGATAACTATCCATGTTACACATAATAGATCTAATTGATTTTAACTTCTATACACTATTCTATCAGTTGAATATATATCACATTTATTCATCCATTAACCCACTCACTGACGCACATTTAGGTTGTTTAAAATTAATGTGTGTAAATTTCTTATGTATCATTTGTTTCTATAGGCTATATTCAAGAAGTGTAAATGCAAGGATCTGTCCAAAAAAAGAGCTTGCTTGCCTCAGAGTTATAGAAATCTTGTATTTGACTTTTTTCATTTCAGTGTTCAAATCCTTTGGAATACTGTTTCTTTATAAGATTGTGTATAATTTTATTTCCCTCCATATGGAGAGCAAAATATTCCACAAATTGTTATTGATAAAGCCATTACTTCCCTAATAATTCATGATCTCATGTCTAATACACACAGAGTCATATATGCATTCACGGATCTGTTTTTAGATACTCTATTCTTTAAAACTTGTTTATGAACCTACTAATGCACTAATACAACACACTTTAATTTTATATATTTAGTATATGGTGAGGCTGGTTTCCTCTGTTCTTTCTCAAAATTGTCTCATAGACTTTATCTCACATGAATTTTGAAATCATTTGGTAAAGATTCCAGAAACTTATTGTTAGGTTGTTTAGAACTACATTCAGTCTAGATTTTTCGGAGAATTGAGAATTTTATGATACTGGATTTATCCATCTATATACTGGTATTTCTCCCCATTTCACTCAAGTCTTAGGCTCTCCAACAAAGTTTTACCTTTTTCAAAAAGGTACTGTTCATTTTCATTTTTTCTGAGCTTAGATCAAGAGATTTTAATATGTGAGGCCTTTCTTCATTTAGTATTGGGGGCGTTTCTCACCTGTATGACCCCTCTTATGTATAGAAAGTGATGCTCTTTGAGAAAATGCTTTCCCACATTCATTACATTCAAATGGTTTCTCCCCAGTATGACTTCTCATATGTATGATAAGTAATGAGCATTGGGAGAAGGCTTTTCCACATTTACTACATTCATAGGGTTTCTCCCCAGTATGACTTCTCACATGAAGGGTAAGGGAGGATATCCGAGAGAAGGCTTTACCACATTCATTACATTTAAATGGTTTCTCTCCAGTATGGATTTTTTCATGTTCAAGGAGATTTTGTCTCTGACTGAAGGCTTTTCCACACTGGTTACAATGATAAGGTTTCTCTCCAGTATGAATTTTCTCATGTTCAGTGAGATTTGATTTCTGACTAAAGGCTTTTCCACACACCGTACAAGCATAGGGTTTTTCACCAGTATGAATTCGCTGGTGTCTAATGAGGTTTGACATCTGAATAAAAGCTTTCCCGCATTCATTGCATTCATAAGGCTTCTCTCCAGTATGAATTTTCTGGTGTGTAATAAGATTTTCTTTCCGGCTGAAGGCTTTTCCACATTCATTACATTCATAGGGTTTCTCAGCTGTATGATTTCTCATATGTACAGTAAGAGAAGAACTCTGAGAGAAGGCTTTCCCACATTCACTACATACATAGGGTTTCTCACCTGTATGACTCCTCATATGTATAATAAATACTGAGCACTGAGAGAAAGCTTTTCCACATTTATTACATTTATAGGGCTTCTCCCCTGTGTGACTTCTCATATGTAGAGTAACAGATGACATTCGAGAAAAAGCTCTACCACATTCATTACATGCATAAGGTTTCTCCCCAGTATGAATTTTTTCATGCTCAATAAGATTCTGCTTCTGGCTGAAAGATTTCCCACATTCCTTACATTCATAGGGTTTTTCTCCAGTGTGAATTCTCTCATGTTCAATGAGATTTGATTTCTGACTGAAGGCTTTCCAACAATCCTTACATGCATAAGGTTTCTCTCCAGTATGAATTCTTTGGTGTCTAATGAGGTTTGACATTTGAATGAAAGCTTTTCCACATTCATTACACTTATATGGTTTTTCCCCAGTATGAATTTTCTGATGTGTGATAAGATTTTCCTTCCTGCTGAAGGCTTTTCCACATTCCTTACATTCATAAGGTTTTTCGCCAGCATGAATTCTCTCATGTCTGATGAGGTCAAATTTCTGACTGAAGTCTTGTCCACACTGATTACACTTAAAGGGGGTTACAACATAGGATGAACAATGATAAAAAGGTTTGCCATACTCATTACATTCATAATTTTTCTCTCTTACACAGCCTTTCTCACAACTAAGTAAATCTAAATTTTGTTCCAAACCCTTAACAAGTGAGTCACATTCATAGAAGCTTTGTCTTGAAGTAACAATATCTGAACTCAGAGGAAATATTTTTGCAACTTTTTTACATTCAATGACTTTTTCCTTAATCACAGTTTTCTTGGAGATGGATGTGACTTTCCTCACAAGTGTTTCCTGCTGCTTCTTGATCTGTTCATCAACTTCCCAAACTTCTAAAATGGAGGACCAAAAATTATTACTTGTGAATTTTTCTACCACTATACTATTAATAACATTTTATAAATTTGTTAATGTGGGGTTTAATTTTTTTTGTTGGCTTTAGTCAATCAATATGAAATAAATTTAAAGTGTAATGTCCCTAGTTCTGAGATTTGACAAGTAAACTACAATAGACAACATTTTGGAGCAAAAACTGACATATACAGACCCAAGTAGCATTGACTGATTTTTAAGAATGTCCTTGTACAATGAAGAAATCAGCAAAATAAGCTGAATTAAAATGAAAAGTATAACACATAGGTGACTCATCAGGGAGTCAAACTAAAGGATAAAATGAACATTTTGGTTAAACACAGTGGACTGAATACATCCTTATTTCTTCTCCTTTCTAAGATTCTTTCCAAAAAGAATAAAGGGCCAAATTTATAAGACAAAGGAAACAGGAGTGCTGACATAGGTAAAAAAGAGATTTCAACAAAACAGTGTAAGATGAAAGGCATACATGGTACTATTAACTGGACATCACATCTAAAGATTAGCTAAAGTATTATGAAGATGTAAATGTTAAAGGCCTAAAATGATTTGGCAACAAAACATTGGAGAAGTTCAAGAATTAGAGGATTCAAGTACTCAAAATATAGGGATAAACAGGAACAAGGCAAGAACATGTTTTTTCCTCACCACCACTTTTCAACATCACATGGGAAGTTCTAGCTAAGAATTAAGACAAAGACAGGAAATAAAAGGTGTGTAGACTGAGAAGGAAGAAACAATATTAACAGTCTTTGTTCACAGATATGTGATCATCTATGTAGAAAATCTGAAACCATCAACAAAACATTTGCTGGAATTAATAATTACTGGAAGGTTGCAAAATATAAGGACAACATACAAAAATGAATTGCCTATACAAGCAACAAACAAATGGAATCTGAAATTAAAAATCTATTACCATTTACATTACAAAATAGGCATATATCTAACAACAAAATGTATAAAATATGAAGAAAACTACAAAACTCTGATGAATAAATTCAAAGAAGAAATGAATAAATGGATATTTCATGCTCATAGATAGAAGACCAGATATTTTAAGATGTTACTTCTTCCCAACTTGATCTGTAGGTTTAATATGATCCCACTCTGCAAACTATTTTGTGTATACAGACAAATTAATTATGATGTTTATGTGAAGGAAAAAGACCCAGAATAGACAATACAATACTGAAGAAGAGTGGAGGACTGACAAAGAAGCAAAGGCAATACAATGGAGCAAAGACAGTCCTTATAACAAATGGGACTGGACCAAATGGACATCTGCATACAAATCAATCTAGACATAGATCTTACACCCTTCACAAAAATCAACTCAAAATGGATCATATATCTAAGAGTAAAATACCAAAGTATAAAACTTTGAGAAGATAATACAGGAAAAAAATCTGAGTGATCTAAGGTTATGATGATGATAAACCCCAAAGGCAAGACCCAATGAAAGAAAAAACTAATAATGTGGACTTCACTAAAATTTAACTTCTGCTTTGCAAAAGACATTATCAAGAAAATGAAAAAATAAGTCACAGACTGGGAAAAAATGTATGCATAACACACATGTGAGAAAGGACTATTAGCCAACATAATAACCAAGATTTCTTAAAACTCAACATTCAGAAAGCAAACAACCTGATTAAAAAATAGGCAAAAGACCTGAACAGACATCTTAACAATGAAGATGGCAAAAAGGCACAAGAAAACACTCAAAATCATATCAATAGGAAATTAATTTCAAATTAAAAGAACAATAAGACAGCATTACATACCTATTAGAATGGCCAAAATCCAAAACACTGGCAACACCAAAGGCTGACAAGGATGTGGATCAACAGGTACTCTCATTCACTGTTGGTGGGAATGCAAGATGATGTGGCTACTTTGCAGGGCAGTTTGGTAGTTTCTTACAAAA